CTAGCTGTAAGTTAGCTTAGGTAGCAAGAGAGGTTGTATTAGATTTAGGTCTAAACTTAAGGGTAATGTGCCCATATTAGGTTAAGGTAGATTAAGGTAGATTAAGGTAGGTTAAGTCAGGGACGTCAGTGTACACAGAGTGTAAAACACATGTTAGAATTAAGTATTCGTAGATAAGTTAGCAGGAAGAAATTTGTAAAATTTGTCTGAAATAAATAATGTCCAAGACAGACAAGAGGAGTGAAGTGACAGCAGCGACCGGGTGCAGAAGAGGTTAAACCCCGCGAGTCTGAAGAGCAAGTTTTCCGTCTGTTAGTGTTATTGTTTGTGAAGTTGACGGTAATTTTGAAGTTAGTTTGTTCCTGTTCCGCATTTAAAGTTATACCGAGGTGAAGAAAGAGTTGGATACTCGGCCATCCACGGTACAATACAATACATTCAACAGCTTCTAGCAGATAAATCCCGTCGGCTGCCGAAGGCAGATTTCTTATCTTTAGTGCATCATAGCAGGAAGAACCCATGGAGGGCGCAAGGGAAGGCAAAAACGAAAAACACCCGTCACGATTCTAGCCATGAAACTATCACAGTATTACCCGTTTGTTCTGGTGTATGAAAAATAAGCGGAAGAAACCCGAATAAACGTGCTTACCAATCATTCCTCCTTCTTGGTCTGGTATTGATAACCAACTCACAACACTCTCTCATTACGATCCGAACCACCATCCACTTACCACCACGCAAACCTACCTACTGAAGACTATTTTATCACAGTGTTGAGGTAATGAATAATTAACGTGTATAAAGTGCTTGATTCTTGTGCAGCCGATTTCGCATGAACTGGACTAGTAGGTACATGAATGATAAGTGCTTTTCCGCCCGCGATATGAAATACACATTGCTGACCTTGCCAAGAATGTTGAAGAATTAACAGTGGTGATAAAGGCGGGCGCATTCAAAATCTGAGTGCCGGTTTTCGTATAAAACAGTTGTTAACATTTAAACAGATTATTAGAGAATCAGAAAATTGGCGCAGTCGGCAGATCCACCCTAATTTCGCTCTTCTTCTAGTGAGTGTCTTTGAATTAAACCTATATAGATCTGTCAGTTTCAACGCAAAATTTCCCAGAGTGGACTCAGTTTCCCCGAGTAAACCTTTATACCACAGTGCGGTTTACCTCGCATTTTTCGCATGAAGTTTTTCACCAATTAACGCGATTTTGCTTAAATAAAGCAAATTCAATTTGCCAATTAAAGCTGTTTTTCAATCGTCGATATGAGGAACAAGGTAATTGGCAATGGCAGCTTGCCATATTTGTGTGTATGGGAAATTATCATTCAATAAAACGACCAGGGGCGGATCCAGCTTTAAAGTCAAAAAAATACAGTCTTCTGTTATCTATGAAATTACAAAAATTATCGTCGTTCTGTGCAAGGGTGGCGCAAGATTATTGCAAAATTTCATGTTTTTCGTCCCGTTTAGCATGTTTCTCGGAAGCAAAATGAGCAAGA